GCTGGAGTGCAGTAGTACAATCTCAGCTCACCACAACCTCCACCTCCCAGCTTCAAGTGATTCTCTTGTCTCAGCTTCTGGAGTAGCTGGGATTACAGGCGTGCACCACCATGCTCAGCTAATCTTTGTATTTTTAGTAGAGACAAAAATAAACCGTAGCCCGGTTTTGCTATGGTGGCCGGGCTGGTCTTGAACTCCTGACCTCAGGTGATCCACCCGCCTTGGTCTCCCAAAGTGCTAGGATTATAGGCATGAGCCACCACACCCGGCCAGTTATAGTATTTTTTAGTACCAGAATTCCTTTCTGTGATGTTTTTATCATTTCTTTCGATTGATGTTTTCTATTTGGTGAGGCATTGTTCTCCTAGTTTCCTTTAGCTCTTCATCCATGGTTTCCTTTAACTCTCTGATCATATTTAGAACAGTTGACTTAAAGCCTTCGTCTAATAAGTGCAATATATGCGCCTCCTTAAAAATAATATATATTAATTAATTTTCTTCCTGTAAATGGGCCATAATTTCTTTTTATTGAATGCTTTTTAACTTTTTGAAAACTGGACATTTTTAAATATTGTTTGTTTAGTGACTTTTCTAAACTGTTTTCCGTAAAATCTTTTTTTTTTTTTTTGTCTATATTGCTCCTTCTGGTGCCAGCAAGCCCCACCACGAAGGCAGGCCACCAACCTTATGGCCATCGCTGATCCAAAGAATGGGAGATAGTAGGTGACTGTGAGGATAGTGACTTCTGTGTGTCATATGCACAGAAAGAGATTCCCACGAGCGCACACAACGAAGAATACAGTCATGACAAACGCAGTTTAGAAAAGTCACTAAATAACAAAAAACTACAACTTATAACAAGCAGCAACAACACAGCCTGGGGAAGAGGGTGAATCTGATTTCCAGGGTTACCAAACTGTATTTCCAATGTCCAGCTTTCAACAAACAGGGAAGAAAAAAATTACATACCATGAAAAAAAAGTTAGGCCAGCTATGGTGGCTCACGCCTGTAGTCCCAGCTCTTTGAGAGGCTGAGGCAGGCAGATCACATGAGGTCAGGAGTTCAAGACCAACCTGGCCAACATGGTGAAACTTCATCTCTACTAAAAATATAAAAATAAGCCGAGTGTGGTGGCGGGCGTCTGTAATCCCAGCTACTCTGGAGGCTGAGACCAGAGAATCACTTGAACCTGGGAGTCAGAGGTTGCAGTGAGCCAAGATCACACCACAGCACTCCAGCCTGACAACAAAGCAAGACTCTATCTCAAAAGAAAAAAAGAAAGAAAAGAAAAGTTAAAATGCCACAATGTTTTCTTACCAAAATTTAGCAGCTTCCTCATTAAGCAGTCCCCTGGTTATTGTAAGATTTTTATTAGATTCTGGAGACCCAAAAAAAGTTAAATCATTTTTGCCAGCTTAATTGTAGCTTTGGTGGAGGGTTGAGATTGTGGAGCTCCCTAATCCTACATTCTCAGCGGCAACCTCTCTGGCTGGTTTGAGTCCAAAGGGAAGGACAAATGCAGCACACACATCCTTACTCATGGGCAGTGACAGCAGATGCGGCTGGTCCTGCAGGCTGCTAGGGACAGCACGCACTGGCCTCAGTGACTTTGGGTCTCCAGTACCGCCATCTGGGGTTTGGCTTTCTTTTTTTATTGTATTTTCCAGCAAGCAGTACCCAGAGGGCGGAGGTTTTCTTTTTTTTTTTTTTTTGAGACGGAGTTTCGCTCTTGTTACCCAGGCCGGAGAGCAATGGCGCGATCTCGGCTCACCGCAACCTCCGCCTCCTGGGTTCAGGCAATTCTCCTGCCTCAGCCTCCTGAGTAGCTGGGATTACAGGTACGCGCCACCATGCCCAGCTAATTTTTTGTAGTTTTAGTAGAGACGGGGTTTCACTGTGTTGACCAGGATGGTCTCGATCTCTTGACCTCGTGATCCACCCTCTTATTTTCTTCTTTTTTTTTTTTTTCTGAGACATAGTCTCACTCTCTCGCCCAGGCTGGAGTGCAGTGGCGCAATCTCGGCTCATTGCAACCTCCGCCTCCCGGGTTCAAGCAATTCTCCAGCCTCAGCTTCCCGAGCAGCTGGGACGACAGGTGTGTGCCACCACGCCCGGCTAATTTTTTGTATTTTTAATGGAGACGGGTTTCACCATGTTAGCCAGGATGGTCTCGATCTCCTGACCTCGTGACTCGCTTGCCTTGGCCTCCCAAAGTGCTGGGATTACAGGCGTGAGCCACTGCACCTGGCCTTGGGTCCTAAAACAAAACTTTCCAAAAATTCAAGACAATAAAATCATAAAAGACCAGGCTGGGAGTGGTGGCTCACAACTACAATCCCAACATTTTAGGAAGCTGAGGCGGGAGGATTGCTTGAGGAGTTTGAGACCAGCTTGGGCAACAGAATGAGACTCCCATCTCTAAAAATAAAAATAAATACATAAGTAAAAGAGCCGTTGAATGGATTGTGCAATTTTGATTTATTTGTTTGGAAAATGGAGCTTAGAAGTTTTTGGGTTTTTATGAGACAGGGTCTCATGCCGTCACTCAGACGGGAGTGCGGTAGGGCAATCGTGGCTCACCGTAGCCCTGACCTCCTGGCATCAGGTGATCCTCCCACCTCAGCCTCCCAGGCAGCGGCAGCTGGGACTAAAGGCGCATGCCACCACACCCAGGTAATTTTTGGAATTTTTATACAGACGCTGGTCTCCAACTCCTGAGCTCAAGCGATCCGCCCACCTCAGCCTCCCAAAGTTCTGGGATAACAGGCAGGAGCCACCATGCCCAGCCCAGAACTTAGAACTCAAAAGGCAAATAAAGTGGCAGAACACCTCACCACACATCACGGAGTATTGGCGACAGAGACTCTCTGGGGGACATCAGAACACTTCCAAGGAAGCATCTAAAATGTCTCTTTCCAGGAAAAAATCAATCATAAAAAGACTTATGTAATAGGGTTTTTGTCATCAGGGAACACGGGAATCAACTTAAATGCCCGGCCACTGGGACAGGCTGAGTAAGAACTGGAGTGTCTGCAAGATGAGGTCTCTGCAACCACAATGGTGGCATTCTCAAAGAATCATGACGCCGGAGCCGCCGCGGTGTGTGTCTGGTGAGAAGAGGCAAGGTACAAATGGACATGTGATCTATGCGATCACCACCTTTGTACACAGCCTGTTCATCACGGATTTTACTTTTTAAAAATTATTGGCCGGGCGCGGTGGCTCATGCCTGTAATCCCAGCACTTTGGGAGGCAGAGGCGGGTGGACTGCCTGAGGTCAGGAGTTCCAGACTAGCCTGACCAACATAGTGAAACCCCATCTCTACTAACAATACAAAAAATTAGCTGGGCGTGGTAGCGGGCACCTGTAATCCCAGCTACTCGGGAGGCTGAGGCAGGAGAATCACTTGAACCTGGGAGGCAGAGGTTGTGATGAGCTGAGATTGCTCCATTGCACTCCAGCCTGGGCAACAAGAGTAAGACTCCATTTCAAAAGAAAAAAAATTATTATTTTGAGATTGGGGTCTCACTCTGTTGCCCAGGCTGGGGTGCAGTGGTGCGATCATGGCTCACTGCCGCCTCGGCCATCCCAGGCTCAAGTGACCCTCCCACATCAGCCTCCCAAGTAGCTGGGACTACAGGTTCACATCACCATGCCTGGCTAATTTTTGTATTTTTTGTAGAGACAGAGTCTCTCCACATTTCCCAGGCTGGTCTGGAACTCCTGGGCTCAAGTGATTGAGTTTTACATTTTTAAATGGTTAAAAGAAGACTCTTTCGTGACATATGAAATCCAAAATTTCGTGTTCATCTATAAAGGTCTACTGCCATATGTCCTCCTCGTTCGCCTCTGGGTTGCCTGTGGCGCCTTCTCACGGTAACGGCATGCCTGAGCAGTTGCAACAGAGACCACATAGCTGGCAAAAGCAGAAATGTTTACCTCCAGACCTCCATAGAAAACGTGTGCCGCCTCCTGCTCTACATACGCATGGTAGAGAAAGTCTCCAAGGCAACACGCACTGCTCAATAGAGACCAACCGTGGGATGATGGAACTATCTGCGGCGTTTCATCTCTTTTTCTGTATTTCCATTCTTTCTCTGTAATGAGCATGTACTGCGTTTATACCAACAACAACAAAAGTGGAAGTTTTCAATGAAATTGCAAACTCAGAAAAACCTCTGCTCTCCCACCACTCCTGCCGGCAGCAGCACCCCAGGGGATCTGGGGGCTTCTCCCCTAAACAATGGTCAGTGAGAGGAACACTCCTCCAGGACCCAAGGAGAGCAGGCTCCCCTGTGCGGGGAGAGAGCATAAAGCCGTGTGTCTGGGACCGGGGCGTGTGACCAGCTCTGACCCGCATCCCTGCTCAGACCACGGCGAGCCACACAAGGCAGGAACCATGCATGGGTGCTGGGCCACGCGAGGCTCTGCCCATGGCAGCACTGACCCCCTGAGGAGCCTCCACCTGGTGAGGCTCATCCCTCCCCACAAACACTGGTCAGGAGGCCTGGGCCCTCTTCTCTCCACCGAAGAATAGAGGGACCAACTTAGTGACCTGAGAGTCCAGCTGCTGGGAGGCCCTCTGCTGGGCAAGGGGTGGGCAAGGTTGAGAAAAGGGCAGAGGGAGGTGCCCATGGCTGGGGGCCGCAGGCAAGTGGTCAGACAAGTGAGCCTGGGAGAACTGAACCAAAAATCAGGGCTGGAGATGAGGCCTTGGAGCCACTCCCAGGATCCTCTGACCAGGCACAGACTCCCCGCTGGAGGCAGAGGGGCCACCACCCTGGCCTGCCTAAGAAGTGAGGCTCAGCGAGGCCAGGTTGGACCAGTCAGCTCATTGGGGCCCGACCGGCACCATGGCCAGGCCCTACCTCAGTGGGAGAGCCTGCGCCCACCCTCCCCCTTGGCCTGGAGGGGCTCCCCTGGGGTCTCAGAGCTTTCTCTATGTCCCCAGGTGTCTTCCTGCCCCCGTCCCCAGCAGTGGCAAACGAACCAGTCCTGGAAGAAGTGGGGATCATGGCCTTGGCACCCCTGGCCGAGATGCTAACCAGCTCACAGCCCAGCGCCACGCCGGGCTCATTCATGAGCCCCCTGACAGGCCCCCTCAGCACGCTGCTGTCCGGCCCAGCACCCATGTCACAGAGCAGCCCCCTCACCGGCTTCCTGACCAGTCCTGTGGCGGGGCCCCACCTGGGTACCATGGCCAGCTCCCTAGGCCTGCCCTCCACTGGCCCCCTGACTCCCAGCAGCCCCCTTGCAGGCCCTGTGGCCATGTCCCAGAGCAGCCCCCTGATAGCCCCTGTGACGGGCACAGTGGCTGTTTCTCTGAGCAGCCCCCTGCTCAGCTCCACTGCTGCCCCACTAGGGGTCTCTCAGAACCTGCTGGCCAACCCCATGAGCAACCTGGTCCTGCCAGAGGCCGCAAGGCTTCGGCTGGCTGAGCCGCCCCGCGGAGGCCCCCCTGGGCCCCACTCCCCAGCTTGCGTGGTGCCTGCTGCCAGCACCAAAGGTAACAGGGTGGTGGGTGGCGGGTGGCGGGTGGTGGGAGGGCTATGCCCCCCACCTCACTCTAATCCCCCTCCTTTCATTTCTGGCCCCTCCACATCACTAGTCCCTCTCTCCACCGAGGCCCCCCGGTCAGCCCAGGACCCAGAGCCTCTCAGCATGCCGTTTGCAGGGGCACCCCTCCAGGCCTCCACCCCCATCGGAGCCATGGGCACACCTGCTCCCTCGACGGCCTTCCCCTCCAACACTTCGGATGCACGGGCCCAGCCCGGTGCCGCCCAGGAACAAATGGTCCCTGCGTCCATCCCCACCTCCCCCACCACCTCCCCCACGGTCACTGTCCTTGCCTCTGCCCCCGCCCTCGCCCCCCAGGTCGCCACCAGCTACACCCCCTCAAGCACCACCCACATGGCCCAGGGTGCCCCCCATTCCCCCTCCCGAATGCATCATTCCCCCACCCGGAACCTGCCTGCCCCCCACTCTCCTCCACACAACGCCCACTCCCCACCTCGCACCTCATCCTCCCCGGCTTCAGTCAATGACTCTCGGGGTCCACGCACCACGGAGCCGTCGAGGAAGAGCATGATGGAGGTGGAGCGGAAGCTGGCCCACCGCAAGACGAGCAAGTTCCCCGAGAGCCCCCGAGGTCAGTGACACTGCGGGCTCTGCATGGGTGGGGCTGGGCTGCTGACCCCCGCCCCTCTCAGCCCCTCCCCTGGGCTGACCAGACCCTGTGTCCCCAGAGCCAAAGAAGCTGGCCTGGGAGCGGCTGGTGGGTGAGATCGCCTTCCAGCTGGACCGCAGGATCCTGTCCAGCATCTTCCCAGAGCGCGTGCGACTCTATGGCTTCACCGTCTCCAACATCCCAGAGAAGATCATCCAGGTGTGTGGCCAGGAGGCCTGCAGGGATGGGGGCAGGCTGGCCCGTGAGGCGTGTGGGGACCCTGCACTCCGGCCAGGACAAACGTGCCAGGACCTGAGGAGGCCCTGGGACGGAAGACGCAGACTGCTGAGTGCCAGCAGCCGGCAGGTATTGTGGCATATGGCAGTGGGAGCCCACGGTCTCCTTGGAGGAAGGGAAGGTGGGGGCCTTCAGCACGGTCAGGCAGCTCTCCCCCTTTGCCATCAGGATGGCCGCCTCTGTGGACACATGGGGAGGATGACACTTGGCCAACGTGCTGGAGTGCGCCTCTGTGCCACGCGAGTGACAGGCTGTGGAAGGCACGGGGAAGCTGGGTTGGGCCCTGCGACTGCCGGGCGGGGAGGGTGGCTGCATCTCTACTTACTCACCGCTTGGGCTCTCTTGAGAAAAAGCCCCACTGCGTTCCCGGCCACTTTTTCTCTCCAGCGGTGTTTATCTGTGGGTTGCTGGCCTGTGTCTGCCTGAGCAGGGGCTACGGTGAGCTCCGTGGGTCCAGGTTTGAGCTCTGCCTCTAGTCAAAGCATCCTTTGGTTAGTTTTCGTTTGTTTGTTTTTTGAGACGGAGTCTCGCTCTGTCACCTGCTCAGGCTGGAGTGCATTGGCGCAATCTCAGCTCACTGCAACCTCCACCAGTCAGTTCGAGATTCTGCTGCTTCAGCCTCTCAAGTAGCTGGGATTACGGGCACGCACCACCACGCCTGGCTAACTTTTGTACTTTTTTGTAGAGATGGGGGTTTCCCCGTGTTGGTCAGGCTGATCTCAAACTCCTGACATCAAGTGATCCACCTGCCTCGGCCTCCCAAAGTGCTGGGATTACAGGCGTGAGCCACCATGTCCGGCCTGGTTAGGTTTTTAACGTAATCAAAACTGTCAGTCTTTTTCTTCATTGTTTGTATTTTTCATGTCTTGTTTGAGAACTCCTTCCCTATCAGAAAGTCCAGAAACTATTCTATATTTTCCATATTTTAAATAATTTTATATATATATATATATTTTGAGATAGCCCAGGCTGGAGTGCAATGGCACAGTCCTAGCTCACTGCAGCCTTGAACTCCTGGGGCTTCAAGGGATCCTCCCGCCTCAGCCTCCTGAGTAGCTGGGACCATAGGTACACACCACCACGTTCAGCCTTTTTGTTTGTTTGTTTGAGACAGAGTTTTGCTCCTGTTGCCCAGGTTGGAGTGTAATGGTGTGATCTCGGCTCACTGCAACCTTACCTCCCGGGTTCAAGCGATTCTCCTGCCTCAGCCTCCCGAGTAGCTGGGATTACAGGCATGCACCACCATGCCCGGCTAATACTGTATTATTAGTAGAGATGGGGTTTCTCCATGTTGGCCAGGCTGGTCTCAAACTCCCAACCTCAGGTGATCTGCCTGCCTTGGCCTCCCAAAAAGTGCTGGGATTACAGGCGTGAACCATTGCACCCAGCCTAATTTTTTTTTTAAGAGACAGGGTCTCGCTATGTTGCCCAGGCTGGTCTCAAACTCCTGACCTCAAGCAATCCTCCCACCTCAGCCTCCCGAAGTGTTAGGATTACAGGTGTGAGCCAATGCACCCAGCCAGTTATGACTTTTAAGCCCAACTAAAAATGTCCTAGTGCTCATGCCTGTCACCTCTTCGGCTCTATAGGAGATGTTCCAAGCTCCATGCCTCTTGGCATCCTAGTCCTAGAAGACCCTGAGTGCACCTACATCAGTACAAGGGTGGACACAGGGTCTCACTATGCTGCCCAGGCTGGTCTCAAATTCCTGGCCTCAAGTGATCCTCCCACCTCAGCCTCCCGCAGTGCTGGGATTACAGGTGTGAGCCACTGTGCCCAGCCTGCTTTTTATTTTTCTTTGTTGAGCACCTGTGGTCATTTTATTTCATTTTTTTTTCTCTTTTATCTTTTTAAAAAAATACATTTGGGGCTATGCAGTTTCCTCTAATCAGGGAGATATTCAAAATATTTAGTAACTGCTACAACAGAAACAGCAGCCAGTTACAGTGGATCCTGGCCTGGGGAGCGCAAGCAGGGCGGGCTGCCAGCAGGGCTGTGTTGTTCACCAGCTGGCTGGTGAGTGCCGCTGTGACCGCCCTGCAGCCACGGTGTGCAGGCACCTACCAAATCTCCGGCCTCCCTCGGAGCCGCACTGAGGCTCCCCACCACAGACTGTCACGGGTGGGCACAAAACACTGTTCAAAACAGCATCGGATTTCCTCTCTAACCCTCAAGTCAATTAGGATTCATTCTCAGTTTCTATCATTAAGGAGAGTCAACCGAAAAAGAAATTCAGAGAGATAGAATCAGTGAGCTGATTTGGGAATCACAGAGAGCTACGGTCTGGAATCTGCGTGCTAGGCTGGATCACAGGCATATCCAGGGGGTCTGGGGAAAAGGAAAGCTTTTAAAGACAGAGGCATCCATGTAAGCTGCCTTGAAGCCAAGTTCAGAGGTCACAGACGCTCACTGCAGTGGCCTTGCTCGTTGAAGGCCACTGCCAGGTGAGTGGCCTTGAGCAAGCAGTGTCTTGGAATCCTGCAGTCTCGAGGAAGTACAGGCCTGCGTGTAAGAGGACTTCTTCACGGCCTTTCTCTACTGCAATTTTTTTTTTTTTTTTTTTTTTTTTTTTTTGAGACAGAGTCTCGCTCTGTCACCAGGCGCCAGGCTGCAGTGCAGTGGCACAATCTCGGCTCACTGCAACCCCCGCCTCCCGGGTTCAAGCAATTCTCCTGCCTCAGCCTCCAGAGTAGCTGGGACTACAGGCATGCGCCTCCACTCCTGGCTAATTTTTGTATTTTTAAGTAGAGACGGGGTTTCACCATGTTGGCCAGGATGGTCTCAATCTCCTGACCTCGTGGTCCGCCCACCTCAGCCTCCCAAAGTGCTGGGATTACAGGCGTGAGCCACCGCGCCCGGCCCGCTG